CACCCTAGCAACCAACTAGAATATCCAAGCAGTGGTATGACAACACCCTAGCAACAAACTAGAATATCCAAGCAGTGGTATAACAACACCCTAGCAACCAACTAGAATATCCAAGCAGTGGTATGACAACACCCTGGCAACCAACTAGAATATCCAAGCAGTAGTATGACAACACCCTAGCAACCAACTAGAATATCCAAGCAGTAGTATGACAACACCCTAGCAACCAACTAGAATATCCAAGCAGTGGTATGACAACACCCTAGCAACCAACTAGAATATCCAAGCAGTGGTATGACAACACCCTAGCTACCAACTAGAATATCCAAGCAGTGGTATGACAACACCCTAGCAACCAACTAGAATATCCAAGCAGTGGTATGACAACACCCTAGCAACCAACTAGAATATCCAAGCAGTGGTATGACAACACCCTAGCAACCAACTAGAATATCCAAGCAGTGGTATGACAACACCCTAGCAACCAACTAGATTACCCAAGCAGAGGTATGACAACACCCTAGCAACCAACTAGAATATCCAAGCAGTGGTATAAAAACACCCTAGCAACCAACTAGAATATTCAAGCAGTGGTATGACAACACCCTAGCAACCAACTAGAATATCCAAGCAGTGGTATGACAACACCCTAGCAACCAACTAGAATACCCAAGCAGTGGTATGACAACACCCTAGCAACCAACTAGAATATCCAAGCAGTAGTATGACAACACCCTAGCAACCAACTAGAATATCCAAGCAGTGGTATGACAACACCCTAGCAACCAACTAGATTACCCAAGCAGTGGTATGACAACACCCTAGCAACCAACTAGAATATCCAAGCAGTGGTATAAAAACACCCTAGCAACCAACTAGAATACCCAAGCAGTAGCATTACTACACCCTAGCAACCAACTAGAATATCCAAGCAGTGGTATAAAAACACCCTAGCAACCAACTAGAATACCCAAGCAGTGGTATGACAACACCCTAGCAACCAACTAGAATATCCAAGCAGTGGTATAAAAACACCCTAGCAACCAACTAGAATATCCAAGCAGTGGTATGACAACACCCTAGCAACCAACTAGAATATCCAAGCAGTGGTATGACAACACCCTAGCAACCAACTAGAATATCCAAGCAGTGGTATGACAACACCCTAGCAATCAATTAGAATACCCAAGCAGTGGTATGACAACACCCTAGCAACTTTATTGTAACTATGCACTCATATCTGGGTTGTTTCTGACTCCTCCTCTTTACTGCAGATTGTAAGTGTGTGTGAGCGACAGCTTCGTTCATTCTGTGTGAAATAAAGAGACGCGGGTTTCCTCCAGTGATGAAGTGTGGATGTGAAATAAACAGAGGACAGAGCAGCAGATGAACAGCGGACTGCTGGAGATCAGAATACATCATCATCTGCGCTGCGACAGGAGCATCATCTCTCAGCATCACTTCATCTTCCAGCAGAAGAAGAATCACCCACGTCACCACACACACTTCAGTTCTGCTGTTTCACACACTTTAAAGAAGAGCTGTTATGCAGAAACCACTTCTATAACCCAGCAGTGTGTGTTTGTGTGTCAGCAGCCCCGCCCACTAGTGCACATCTCTCCATCTCATTAGCATAAACAGCAGCCCTGAGAGTGTGTGTAAATGAGTGTGTGTTCTTGAGTGTGTGTTTGTTATTTATGTAAGTGTTTGTTCTTGAGTGTGTGAGAGAGAATGTGTGTGATTGAGTATGTTCTTGAGCGTGTTTCTGAGTTTGTATGTGTGTGTTCTTTAATGCAGGTTCATTTGTATGTGTGTGTGTGTGTTCTTGTGTGTGATTGTGTATGTGTGTGTGAACGAATGCTTGTTCTTTTGTGTGTGTTATTTGTATGTGTGTGTGAATAAATGTGCATTCTTGAGTGTGTGCGTGCATGTGTGTGTGTGTGTGTGTGAATGTTCTTGATTGATTTTGATCTTGTGTGTTTTTTGTGTATGTGTGTGTTCTTGAGTGTGTATGTTCTTGAGTAGGTGTAATTTTGGTGTGTGTTTTTTAATTGTACATGAAAGAAAGAGAACAAAAATGTGTGTGTGTGTGTGTGTGTGTGTGTGTGTGTGTGTGTGTGTGTGTGTGAGAGAGAGAGAGAGAGAGAATGTGTGTGCGTGTGTGTGGCCTTGAGTGTGCTGTTGACTGTATGTGAATGAGAGCTTGTTCTTGAGTGCATGTGTGTGTGTGTGTGTGTGTGTGTGTTCTTGAGTGTGTTTTTGACTGCATGTGTGTGTGAATGAGTGCTTGTTCTGACAGTGTGTGTTTCGTATGTGTGTAAATGCTTGTCTCTTTCTCTCTCTCTCTTTGTGTGTGTGTGTGTGTGTGTGTGTGTGTGTGTTTTGACTGTGTGTGTTAACAAGTGCTTGTTTTTGTATGTGTGTGCAAATGAGTGTGTTCTTGGGTGTGTTTGGGAGTTTGTGTGTGTGTGTGTGTGTGTGTGTGTTCTTGAGAGTGCTTGTGTACTGTATGTGTGTGGGTGAGACAGTTTGTGTGTGTGTGTGTATGTTCTTAAATAGGTTTTTGAGGGTGTTTGAGTGTGTGTGTGGGTGTGTGTGTGTGCGTGCGTGCGTGTAAGTGTGTAAGAGGGAGTGAGTGTGTGTGTGTTTTTGAATATGTTTTTGAGTGCGCATGTGTGTGTGTGTCCTTGAGCCTGTGTTTTTGTGTATGTGTGTATTCTTGGGTGTGTGTGTGTGTGTGTGTGTGAGTGTGTGAAAGAGAAAGAGAATGTGTGTGTATTTATGAGAGAGAGAGACAGAGTGTGTGTGTGTATGTGT